AATTAACCAAATCTTCACATAGGTTCAAATAATCAACAAATATAGACTGAAAATTCAATAAGCCAACAATTTTCATAGGAAGAAAATGGAGACTAAAATAAGTAGCATTCTTCCTGGGTTCTTGGTATACATTGTTACTTGCTCTTTTCCTCCCAAAAAACCTGCCATCTGTTATGCCACTCACCATGAAATCTCTGCAGCAGGTATTCCATAAGAGAAGTCAGTGGCAAGACCAGGAGAGCCAAAGCAAATGCTATGTTGAAATTCAGAAATCCATTAATTAAATAGAAATACCACGATTCTGTACCTGAGGGAGACACAAGAGTTAAGAAATCATTACTGGATGCCTTCAACGCCTTTTATAGCACCTGATGCATCTTGTTCTTTGTTTAAGTAACACTGATGATCCAATGCTTCAAGTCAATGAGGATCCACAGCCCGCTCTTTCATGCTCAGCCACACACAGGAGCACAAAACCAGAAACAGGAAAACAATGGGATTGGTTATGAGGATTTAGACAGAAATCAAGATTCAAATAGTTAGTGTACTTTCTATACGGACCACATTATCTAGCCCAAACTGCTATGTCCAAATGAAACAAATACTTTTTCAGAACCACCAAATAATTTAAATATCTTTCAAGCTATACGGAACTAAAATGATAAAAATGCCATCTCAACTAACTACTGTCTCAACATTCTGCAGACCAAAGGAGTGATATAAGAACATGGTTTGAGCTATTCAGGCCTCTCCCACTTTGTTTCACCTGCTTGTCCCATTTACATTCTAGCATCTTTCCCCTTGATATGCTCAACCACTACTTTATAGTCATGTACAAAGGGCACCACGTGTTTGGTAAAAAGCAACAACTTGGTTTTTCTCAGACTCATGTTCAGAGACCCAGGCCCTGCTCAGAAGCTTTGAATATTCAGAATGAAGCAAAATGACTAAAAAACCCAAGCCTCACTCACACTAGTTTTGATTCTTTAACTCAAACTCCTTAAACCCAAATGATGAGAAACAGCCCCCCGCTGCACATTTAGCAGGTTTTTCATCAGCTTTTCCCCTCTGTATGATTACTTCAATCAGGCAGTGAATGACACACGCGGGTTTTAATCACTGTGTGTTGTGACACCCGCCTTGCACCATAGCAATTTCCTGCAATCAGCATTGCTTAAAAGGGTAATTAGAAGGCAGAGGAATAGTCAGAAAAACCTGACATTCTTGTAGCTTGCACAGCAAAATAAGATTAGAAACCAACTCCATAATGCTAGAAACATTCAGGGGAGAAGTAAAAGGGAGGGAGGTTACACTAAGGAAGGGTTCAAGTTCAACTGTGTGTCACCTTTCGGGGAAGCTCACTCCTTCCTTTCTAAATACAATGACTGAGATTGTTCATGAACAGAGGTCCTGTTCCAGGCCAAGTTCATCAGGGGCATTTTAATCTTGTATTCCTTACAAATGACATTTGGGTTAGAAAACTAATGGATGGTTTTATTTTTTTAAAACAGACATATGTGTCTTCTTTGGATTTTAATTAATATTTAACAACATATTTCCTAAACTGAGTACTTTAGGATACAGTTTCCAGACAGCTAAGCTTTTGCACAATCCTTTCCTGACTACCAGTGTAGAGGCAGTGCTATCAACCTAACTTTTTTCTTAATACAATTCTGGAAATCTGAGCTTGTGAAGAAAAACGACACAGCGACCAGAAAGGAGTCATCCTTTATATCATCTATTACAGAGGCTAACCATCAATAGAAAAAAACCCCTTGTCTCTTTGAAATTCACAAATATAGATTGTTTTTCTCAGGGAAGCTCTTAAGTTTCCAACAAGTATTTGTCTCCAACACAGCTTACTATACCCTCCTATTAGAACTATCTTTTTACCTATATATACTATATTCTGAGATGCAGAAACACAAGTATTAATTTGGTAAATTCAATTATTCTTTTGTGTTCGGAGCTCATAAATAAAGTTCTCAGTTAGGCTGTGAACATTTCATAATCGACAGCTAATTCCCTGAAGGATGGGGCAAAAATCAGGGGAGAAGCCAAGAGTGAAGAAGGTTCAAGTAACAACAGTCTTAAAAACAAGGGCAAAAGGGAACAAAGAGAGTGAGTTCTTTAGCCAGTGTTCTTCCCTACCTGATGACACACCTGCCTAAGGAAAGAAAAGGGTATAAACTTTTATCTCTTTCCTGGGAGATACTCAATGCTGCTGCTCAGAAAGCATTAAAGTTGAAGTATGCAGAAAAAACACATCAGAATGACAAGCTAAGCAATGAACTGGTGCAAGATGTTAGGTGGAAAAAAGCTGGCAGCAGGGTCTCTGCAGGGAGTGACTCACCAATCTGCCTTTTTATGGAAAGTACCTTTCATTCAAATGAGCTGAAGGGAGCTTTCAGAGAGGCCAAGAGAAGGGATAATGTTTACTGTTCCACAGATTGAATGAAGGGGAACCATTTTACATAACTGTAATTTTACAGAACTGTAGGAATTAAATTATAGTAAGTCATCCTTATAAATGTCAAATTTGTACCACTAAGAGGGAAAAGCCACCAAATTTCAACAGAAATAATTAATAAAAGAACAAAGGCTCTAGAACAATTCTGGCTGGCAGTCAACTTTTTAAGCAGGACTCAGAAGACCCCACTGGGCCTTTTTTCTCTGCTGCTGCAAGAATGGAAAACTGTGGGCCTTCTAACAGAGGGCATTTGCCTGTACCTTCTGAAACTTCCTATCCACTTATCTGACAGCTCTTGACAAAATATGCAAACAGGCAATGGGATCTTGTCCTAAGCTGCAAAGTGGCATCCTGAGTAGACCCACTGTTCTTTTTGAGGGAAGAGCATTTCTTGCCTTCTCCAGGACTGTCTACTCCTCATCAGAGGCCCAGCAGTCACTCACCAGACAAAAATACCTGTTGACATCAACACATGAGAACACGAAATGTTACGAGAGGCAAAATCAGTGCCAAGACCAATCACTTTTTTTCGGCAACACTAAATTTCACCTCCTGATCTTTGATCCCACCGAGATGTTTTGCCTATAACTTTGCAATTTTAGTCTTCACTACTCTAAATTTCCTAAATGCCAAGTATTCTTTACCTCATCCAAACGCTCCTTCTTTCTTCAAAAAAAGGGTCCAGTGTACTCTCTTGTGAAAGAGAACCTCTCAATGTGCATGTCACTCTGACACCCAAGCTCTCCAGGGACTCACCCTCAAAGCCAAAATGCGCCAACCTTCAAAGGTGCAACTTTCCCAACCATTCTGTAGATTGGATCTTAACTTTTACTCCCCCAAGTCACGCTGCTTTCACAAGCTTATTCTCCTGTAGAACCTCGATAGCCAAACTCCACGGTTTTTGCTAAGGTTGTTTTCAGTGGAAAGAACACAGGCTTCAGAGTCAGACAACTCTGGACTCTTTTTTTTGACAGAGTGCAGTGGCATGATCACAGCTCACTGCAACCTCAAACTCCTGGGCTCAAGCAATCCTCTTGCCTCAGCCTCCCGAGTAGTTGGGACTACACGTGTGCACCATGATACCTGGCTCATTTTTCTATTTTCTTTTCGTAGAGACGGGGTATTGCTCTTGCTCAGGCTGGTCTCTAACTCCTAAGCTCAAGCAATCCTCCCGCCTCAGCCCCCCAGAGTGCTGGGATTACAGACCTGAGCCACGACGCCAAGCCTAAACCTGGACTCTTATCCCATTTCTGCTACTTAGTCAACTATGTGGCAAGTTCCTCACCATCTTGACCTCAGTTTTCTCATCTGGGAATACACATTAATAATGCCTATCTCACAGAGTTTTTGTGAAGGGAAGAAGATAGTATGTGTTAAATTTCTGGCACATAATAAACATTCAGTAAACAGAAGCCATTGTAATTAATGTCTGTGGAAATGTACTCCTTTTATTTCCCCTGGCTTCAAAAGAAAGGAGTCAACCCAGATCTGGAATGTGTCATTAGCATATGCTATCTAGCCAAGAAAGTGTAGGAAGGTCCCTTGGAAAACCAGGAACAATAGAGAAGGTAAATATTCATATGATTACAGTCACAACAGAGAGACTGAATCAACTTGCTCGTGCCTTAATAGTCGTTACCTAAAATTCAGCCAATGCTGAATATTATATTTTTCAAAAGAACTCAGTATTCAATCTTTTTGCCTCAGCAGTCCCTACACTTTACATTCCATTTGTCTAAAATGCACCCCCTAGCATCTACACTCTTACTCTTCCTTCCAGGCTCAGTTCAAGAACCACACCTTTCCTATACCACCAGAGGGACTTGCTCCTATGATTCCCTGACTATCTCCCCACTGTGGCACATGATACACTGTCCTATAATTATCTATCTGTGTGTCTGCAGCCTCATTAGAGAGCAAGTTTCATGAGGATGCATGGTAAGTGATCAAAAGCAATTTGCTAAAGTCTATTTGTCCATTCATTCAAGAAGTATTTGTAGGCTTAGTACGCTCTTATGGATGAGAAACAGCACCAAGAGATGTATGTAAAAACTATCAACACAGTGCATTTTTAATTTTCAGATAAGAAACGATGTGTCTACCGATAGTTAATGAAGCACTTGGAGCAGGAGACTCCTGTAAAATAGCCAAAATAATGCCAAATAGTGCCAAACATGTAAGTAAAGTGAAAGAGATAGGTTTCCAAGACAAAAGACACACTATTTCATCATTTGACAATAAAGTACTTTTTGGTTTAAAAAGCATTTTATGGGCCGGGTGCAGTGGCTCATGCCTGTAATCCCAGCACTTTGGGGGGCTGACGGGGGAGGACTGCTTGAGGCCAGGAGTCTAAGCCCAGCCTGGGTAACACAGCAACACCCTGTCTCTACAAAAAATAAAAAACATTAGCCAGGCATGATAACATGCACCTGTAGTCCCAGCTACTCAGGAGGATGAGGCAGGAGGACTGCTTGAGCCCAGGAGTTCAAGGCTGCAGTGAGCTATGATCACACCGCTGCACTCCACCCTGGGAGACAGAGCCAAGACCCTGTCTCTTTAAAAAAAAAAAAAAGGTATTTTACATCTATTATTCTTATTTGGTACCAAGAAAATCCCAAGTCAGCACCACAACAGGTCTAATCAAAGTGGTTCTAGGACACAACAGTAAACAGGGCACTAATATAACTGATGGATACTCCAGAATTCATTCAGTCATTCATTCTTAACAAATCTTTACTGTAAACCTGGAATATACAAGGAATTCCTACTGCTAATATGGAAGAAGTAGTCTCTCTGCAGGGCTGGTAAAGCAAAAAAGAGGTAACACTCTTTTAAGGAAAGCAAATCAGACTAAAATAAATTTGTCAAATTCAAAGATGAGGTAAAAGTGCAAAAATGCTACCATCAAGGAACAACTCCCCGAAGTCTGTCTGACCACAGTACTGCATCAGGCCGTTAATGGCCGGTATGACAATTCTCTCTGTCCTAACAGAGCTTTTGCTACCACTAGGAAAGTAATGAGTTTCGGCACATCCAAAATAGTAAAATCTGAAATGAAGCTATCGCACGTTCATCAAAGTAGGCAGAAAGAAGCCCCCAGGACTCTTTGCCAGTAAAAGACTGAAACAAACAGCAAATGTCAATGTCCAAGGAAAGACTGGCCACTGCTCTACTGGATCCTAAAACCTACCTACCACAGGGTCCCTGACCAACCCACTGTTAAACTAGAAACGTAAACTTAAATCAGAATTTATCCTACTCTTCCCACCAAGCTGATTATTTCTAGATTTAGAAGTCTCATCAATCTAGAGGGCTACAAAAAAATCTGTCACTTTCATATGCTCTCACAAATGGTTTTATAAATAAAGTCAGAATATCATCAATATATTAATGTAATAACCCATTTATATGAAGGTAGAGAAGCCAGTTTTTCAAAATTAACACAAATTAACTCGATTTATTCACCACTACAGAATGGATATTATGTTGCCAATAGGTTCTGTGTAAAATGATTTCTATTATTCGATTTGGGTGTAAGACGTTTTATTATCTTGTGGAAATCAAACAAAATTTTACAAGTAAACTAAAACAAGGGGCAATTATAAACATGCAAACTCTCCATAGCTAAAGGGAGACATCTAGAGGCAAAAGCTTAAACGTGGGGCCATTTCTCACGTCCTCAGGGATCTTGGAGCCAAAAAGGAGCCTTTTTAAAGTTCTTTCACTTAGTGATTATTCTCTAACCTAACCATGGCGTTTGTGAATTCAATTCATCGAACACTCCTTATTTTAGCATATTACTTGCCATCTAAAATGACAATATTCCCCAAATCCCAGCAGGTTCAAGTAAATCTCATTCGTTTCTTACTTTAAGCCTCCACATTCAACCTGTTGGTTCTAACGGCCAAGTGGCACAGGCAAATGATGGGCATGGTTAGCAACAAGACTTAAACTAATCAGAGGTACAGACAGAAATAACAGTAACCTGCTAGCAGAGCCCCAAGGCAATCACACATAGAGAATGCTCTAAGACCCTCAAAAGGGTCTTAGATTAAGGCAGAAGAAACTACACTTATTTTAACGAAAAAACTATCTCAAAATGTTTACTGTCTTGACTGATCTGATCCAAAAGATCTCTAGCTCCTCCTCTTGTAACTATAACCAACTCGAATGCCCTCAGGAGCCAAATAAAACTGGCTCAGCAGCTGGCTGAGTGAGAGGTATCAGGGAAGGGGTGGAGACGGGTGAAGTGAAGAAAGCATCCCCAGACTAAAGACATTCAATTTTTATTCTCTTAACCCCAAGCTGGCCAACTACCCGTCCTCACATGCTGACCCCAACTGCAGCCCCATATGCTATACTTTGTTTATAGATTTTCCAAACTTTCTCTCCTAATGCCTGATATTAAAGTAATACAAGTTTTTTAAAAAGTAACATCAAATGTCTTTATGTACAGAAAATGCCTGGAGGAATATACTCCCGGGTGTTAACAATAGCTATGTGGAGACGATGGGATTATGTTGTTATTTTCTTCTTTTTGTTAACATTGATTTTCTAATAAGAGGAAAAAAACGTAACTTTTAATTTAAAAAAAAAAAGTGGGCCAGGCGCAGTGGCTAACACCTGTAGTCCTGGCACTTTGGGCGGCTGAGGCGGGTGGATCGCTCGGGGTCAGGAGTTCGAGACCCGCCTGAGCAAGAGCAAGACCCCATCTCTACTAAAAATAGAGGGAAATTATTTGGACAACTAAAAATCTATATAGGGAAGGTTGGCCGGGCATGGTGGCACATGTCTGTGGTCCCAGCTGCTCGGGAGGCTGAGGCAGTGGGATCACTTGAGCCCAGGAGTTTGAGGTTGCTGTGAGCTGCGCTGACACCACGGCACTCTACTCCAGGCAACAGAGTGAGACTCTGTCTGAAAAAAAAAAAAAAGCAGCATCGAAAGCCATGGACCCAATAGAGTCCTTGAAACTCTGAAAGTGGGAATAACAGACAGCAGAACAAACAGAGAACTGGTATCTGAATACTACATTAATCAAGGAGAAATATTTGAGTGGCTACATGTCATCACTGTGCTATATTCTATTTTTGAAATTGGAAAACATGACCACCAGGCAAGAAATGCTGTATTTGATGAAAGGAGGCAAATGAATTAAAAATTTGAAGCTCAGACAAATTAAGCTATCTCCTAGCACTTTCCTAAATTTTATAAAGTCTTACCATAAAGATCAGGTCCATGAGGAGTAAAGACATTATACAAAACAATGTTGAGTGGTGCAATCACCAATTTCCCATAATAGTAGCTGTCAATAACCACCACAGGCACCTAAAACAGAGCAGAAAACACAGCAATTGTAAAGTTTTGTTTTGGGAACATTCTCAAAATGCTAATAGGATAAACCTGAGAATGAAAAACAGCATGAACTCCTAATGTTCTCTTTTTCACATCAAAGTTGCTTTCATTACAACTTTAGAACAAAACAAGAAAAAAAGAAAACTCACCAGAAAGAGTATTAGGGCCACCAGTGACCAATGAAAGAAACTCTTCCACCTGTGTTTCATGATCAGCAAATCAAAGGCGATGGGTAAACTATTTAACAGAGAAACAGAGAGTGGGGGGTAAAATAAAATATTGACAGAAACACGTCAGACTCATACATACCTCATGCTCAACTTAGAATACAATGTCTCTGCCAGTTACATACAGTGAGGGAAGAAAGCTAGTATGCGAGAGGATGTCTTCTCAAAACTGTACTGTGATGGTCTTCGCAGGACCCATCAGAGTGCTATGCAAGAAATGTAAATACTGAGCTGCTGAATGAACTGCACTTTACACATATTTATGTGTAAGGGACATTTAAAATATGTTAATTATAAGTAAATGTGCCTTATTGTCCTGCACCCACCCTACCAAATAAATAAGCACTGACCTCTCCCTTCCATGATTTACTAGGATTTTAGTAATATAATGATATTATGAACTTTGACTTCAATTCTAATATATCTTTTTTTTTTTTTTTTGAGATAGAGTCTTGCTCTGTTGCTGGGGCTAGAGTGCCGTGGCGTCAGCCTAGCTAATAGCAACTTCAAACTCCTGGGCTCAAGCGATCCTTCTGCCTCAGCCTCCCGAGTAGCTGGGACTACAGGCATGCGCCACCATGCCCGGATAACTTTTTCTATATATTTTTAGTTGTCCAGCTAATTTCTTTCTCTTTTTAGTAAAGACGGGGGTCTCACTCTTGCTCAGGCTGGTCTTGAACTCCTGACCTTGAGTGATCCTCCCGCCTCCGCCTCCCAGAGTGCTAGGATTACAGGCATGAGCCACCACGCCCAGCCAATTCTGATATATCTCTTTCCAACACTATTTGCTCTTCTTTCTTTTACTTAAATTCCTTAAGCAAGTAGCATATATGTGTTGCCCTCATTTCACTATTTCTTCCTTAAGGCCCTGTATCAAGGCAATAAGACTGACAGAAGGTCCACAGGAACTTCCTCTTGGCAAGACCCAGTACCTCTTCACAAGTTTCATCTTCCTTTGTCTTTGTGCTGCACTGGACACAAAACATCTGTTCCTCCCTCATTAGACTCTCTGGGTTCCTGTTCTTTTGTGGTCTCTTCCCTAGTGCTCCTTTCTACACTGCATTTTTTTTTACTCCTTCACCACAGTCATATCTCCCAAGAGAAATTACACTCATTATCTCAGTAGGTGCTTCCACTTTTGCTGCATGAACAAACACCAATTCTTGAGCCTCCATGTGGCTTACTCAGAAGCTAGTAGTGGGAGCATTGGGCTGGGTGTGTGGGAAGATTCTCAGGTCCTTGGGCAGATGCTGTGATGTGGTTGGTGGCATTCGCAATGGTAGAGCGACCCACTGGGACCCAAATGGTCCGTGTTGGTATTGCTAGCAGATGTGACACGTTGGGCGGGCTAGTCTCCAGTCCCACAGCCACCCAAAACAGGACAGTGGGTATGGTCCTAAGTGTGCTTAGCAGAGTTTGGTCTTCTCTGTCCCTCCCCAGCCAGGTGGTAGCTGCAGCTGTGTCACCTTAAACTTGGCCTAAAGCTGGGGCACAGCCCAGCATTAAACTCTTAAAATGGCACCAGCTGTGAGCCTGTGACCAAAGAGGGCAAGGCCCCAGTCAGGCAAGTAGTGTGGGCAAGAAGATGTGGGGAATGTGGTCCACTCATGTCTCAGTCTCACAGCAGCCTGTTGGAGGGCAGTGGGTATTGTTCTAGGAGAACCTGGTTTCCCTGTCCCTCCTCAGCCTGGCAATGGCTGCAGCCACATCAACCTACACTCAGCCTGAGGGCAAATTTCCAAATTTTTTATTTAAAGGACCTGACTATACATATTTTAGCCTTTGTAGGCCATATATGGTCTCTGTTGCATATTCTTCTCTCTGTGTGAGAGTGTGTGTGTGTGTGTGTGTGTGTGTGTGTGTGTGCATTGTTTTTAAACAACCTTTTAAAAATGTAAAAACTAACCTTAGTTCTTGGGCTGTACAAAAACGGCCAGGTAGATTTGGCCCATGGGCCACAGTTTGCCAATTCTTGTGACATAGAGAAATAGAGAAACTACTGTAGAGTTTAAAACAGGGGAGTGATATGACCACATTTGCATTTTAGGAAGATAAGTCTAATTTGAGTGTGGAGAGCAGATTTGCAGTGGTTTACGATTAGAGATGAGATCATTTAGAGGCTGTGTAGTAATCTAGGAGCAGAGAGGGGTGAAGAGAAGTAGTCGGATTCAAAATATATTTATAGGATGTGGGAAAGAGAAAAGAATCACAGATAATTTTCAGATTTCTGGCTCAGTATTAAGGAGAAAATGGGACCATTTACTGGGCAAGAAACATAGATAAAGGAACGGATATGGAGGGAAGATAACGAGTTCAGGAGGTAGCTAACAGGCAGGTGGGAATATATGAGTGAAGCTCAAGAGAGATGACTAGACTAGACATAAAGATAGTTGAGATCAGAAAGTATAGTAGAGGGCCCAAGAAAAAAATCTTGAGGAATATAATAATTTGAGGATGATATGCAAAACAGAATGAAGAAAGGAATGAAGG